CAAACAAAAAAGTAACGTAAATAACGTATATAACTTGGAAAACAATGAAATTTTGACTATTTTTAACCTATATAATGTTGGGTGTTAACATAAGTTCTGTCCGGTTTTGCTAAATTAAAGGAAAAAAATGATCCAAATATTAATAGCATGTTAATTTTTTACAACTCATATACATATTATTAGCGTATTTATATATCATTATGCTAAAAATTAACACATTGTAAATAAATCAATTTTTACAATAAGTTTTCAACAAATTTCATAGATCTTTTGCATCTTATCAATTACAAATTATTTATTGATAATTGATTTTAAATAATATAATATGTGATTAATTTAATATCTTGAAGAATTTGCAATTAAATACAGTAATAATGCTGCATTTCTTTTTTATTATATTAAAGTATTAACGGTTTTCCTGGTAAAGTTTACACGAGTTAGAAATAATACTGGCTTACATCTCTCATCTCAATAAAATAATGATAAGTGTAGGTATTTCGCATTAAGCCGAAAGGCGTAATTTGCGCGAGCATTCGGCCATTTGGCAAAGCGGTATTTTAACTATTTATTTCATTACTGTGCGCGCTCTCCTCGTCTCGCCAATTTCCTGAACGCCAGCTGCCAGAAATTATTTCCTGCGGCACATTTCTCACACGCTATTTTTCTATAACAAAGCAAGAGAAAAAAATAACAAGAACAAAACTCTGGTCTCTTCCTTCGTTCCTCCCGGAATTCGCTCATTCTTTCTCTTTTCAACGTACTAACGCACACATTTATCCATCGAACGTAGAGCATCGAGAAGGCCTTCTTGCCTCAACCTAGCCCCGGGGAGCAATTCGCAAAACCCTGTCACTTTTTGTTTCCTTCTTCATATTATCTAACATATCCTTGCCCATTGGATACGTTTAATATGAATGTAGTTTTATTTTAGTGACCTTTACGGTTAATCGAGCCGCACACGAGAAATAACAATAATCGGGAATTGTAGCCCTAAAGTGCTTACCGCATTCATGACCACAGATATTTTTCATAACATGGACCATTCAGGAATTAAGCTTACATATTCAAAACTCGATTATAGAAATTATTAAGGAAAATTTTCATACAAATACAAATTGTACAAAATCTATTTTTTATTATTTTGTTAAAAACCCAACCAATATTGAATATATTGTTGTATTTTTACTTAAAGGATCAATTTACTAAATTAGGATCTTAATAGTTTTACATTTTGAAAATATTGAGTTACAAATTGACTATTGATTTTTTTTAGCAAACCATCAACTGAATTCAATTTACATTAACTTCAGGCAAAGAATAATAGAAATTTATTGAGTTTGAGCAGTAGCGAACTGTGGATATTTGCTTGTTGACTTTCTCGGCGAATGCGCCGGGGCCATTAATCTCGCAAGGATTTACACTACTCATCCAGGTCTTAACATAAACAGAGTCGAGTCCTTAAGATGTTCATCGCGGTAAATAATTGCTTCGAATGGAGAATCACGTAGGTGGCGAAAAGGGGCGTATTCAATTTGCGGCCGTTTCGTAAATAAGTCCGACTGTGGATGGGGGCGGCGAGTGGCGAATGTGCAAAGTTTATTATTTAATCAATTTTATGGGGCCACCTAATACTTGCACTGGGGGAGACATAAAGGTCGGTTTTCGGGGTATCCGAGAGCTCAGGTGACCGAAGGGCCACCGCGAGATTTATAACGAATATAACGTTAATTTTATGGCGCCGGACAAATTGTCGGATGGTTTTCACCTTTACCCCTTTTCGCGCGTAAATCATCGCGGATCCACATTTTTATAGCTGAGCCAAAATGATTTCTATTCGCGCTATCTGATTTCAGTCCATTTTAATTAACGCTGAACTATTAAAGCATTCGTAATTCACTTCAAAACGATCCTAAACATGTCACATTACATAAATTTAATAAATAAAACATTACTAAACTTCATTAGCAACCAGAGCACGTCTATAATTACCAAAAAACACTTCTACATATATTATATTATAAGAGCGACTAATAGCCGAATGGTTAAATCGCCCTACCCACGATTTTGTGGGCGCCGGTTCGAATCCTGGTTAAGGATGGATAGATGGACAGTCAAATGAATGAGGTTCAGCTATGGACCTTCAGCCAAATCGATGGACAATAACAGTGTTAAGGATAGCAGCTGATTCACAGTCAAAGGAAATAGTGGAATCGCAGAGCATCAATATACTACTGAAGCTAACCTACAAGACGACAGAAAACCTACAAATTTAAAAAAAAAATCAAATCATCATAATGGTAACTATAACCGGGAAAGATTATCCATTGAATCAATTGAATGTCAACCGCGATCTTAAATTTACTCGATGAACAGATTGTGAATAAAATTATACGACATAAAAAAATATAATATTATAAAAATTGAAAATGTAGAAATTATAATCCGAACATTCGTAAAAGGAAATACTAAATAAAAAAAATGCAAAAAAACGAGGATTAACGCTCACCGTTGGGCGACGCGGCGTGTTAGAAAAGCGCGGCTAATTGGATCCGAAGCACAGAAAACACACCTCCTCTCCTTTACACAGGACATTTGATTAACCTTTATCAGACTGAAAGTCATTAAAAATTTAAACAGTTTTCCCTCCATGAATTAATAAACGCCGTTGAGATTCCGCCGATCAATGCAAGAACGTCCACATTTGCCTATCCGAACTTCAAATCAACCAAGAAAAAAATAAAAAATAAATAAAATTTAAAACTAGTAATATTTCACATCGCAGCTAAATTAAGCAATTATACATCTCTTTGCTTTATTTCTCAGCCTCTTCTTCAGTTCTTTCTTCATCTCGCCTTCGCCAGAACCCATTTTACTTGCGGCGACTTCAAGGGAATACGAAATTAGGTAATTAATTTGGTATCGATCCATAATGAAGGGAAAACGACTTTCGAATCAAGCGGTCCCAAACTTGCTGAAGGCACACAGCGAAAACATAGCGAGATTGGGAAAGTGAGGACAAAAAAGGAACGTGAAAGAAAGGTGAACACGTCAAAACTTCCTCTCTTTCAGGGCCTACCCGGACCGCAGCCACTTAACTCGAAATTGAATTTCAATTGATGGATTTGACTCGGTGCTGGTGACAGTTTTTTTTATCGTTTAGAATTCTTGACAAATTGCAAAAGTAAAGTCACTTACAAATCATTTTCATTATCATTTTTTTGTAAATATATAACATATTTCCTTATATCTTGTACACAGAAAACATATTTGCTGATTAATTATATCAAACATGATTACATTACTGTTTTTTTTTTCTTTTTTAATCAATGAAATTTTATATTTGCTAATTGTTCATTGTTACATTACTGTTTCCTATTTCAAATTCAGTGTATAGTAATGGAAAATTAGTTTCTCTGTGTGTATGTAAGAAAATAATGAGGTGCACGTGATTTGCTGAAGTTTCGAATGGAAACTCTTAGCGGTTTTGAATAATGGAATATGCTTCTAATTTTTCATCTTTTTTTGCACTCTCCCTTCTTCGTGTTTCTCAATTTAATTACTAAGTAATATAAATTCATCTTCGCCAGGCTTCGGAGTAGTGTATCCTCGCGCTTGTATCCGTCGAGAGACCTCGCAACTAGGCCAGAATATTTAATGGATATGATAATCTTCTGCACAGGCAGTAATTATATTTCATAATTCTCCCTTGATTCCTTGCTTATTTAATGGCCCGTCCACGGATCAAGTCGTCCTTCCATCATATTTCCATCCGATGTTTTTTTTTCCATCCATCCTTCATCTCCTTCTCAAATACTTCTTCCTACCTTCCTTCACATCTTCTTCTCCTCCTTCGACCGTTTCAAATGAAACCCACGGCTTCTATTTCCCATTGCCATTTATTAAATCCGCGTTTGCCGCCTCCATCTCCGTCTCCTACATATAAATTAAAGTTTACCGGATTGTTGAAGAAATGAAAACCATTTAAATTCCCGATAAATCAACCGGTGATCCTTCAATTTATCAACAAACACAAAAGCCATTTGCGCCGACGGCGAGACGAACCGAGTGGAATGGGGTGAATCTCACTATTTTCTCTCTCCGGATCCATTTAAAATCGCCTTTTCGGTGGTCATAATTTATGATGAATCGGAGGAGGGAAAACAGGGATAATTAATCGCGCAGACACGACCCGAATTAGAACGCCATCGGAAAGTCGAAACCGTTACAGTTTCTGCATCAATCTTCGATTCTGAAACACACACACTCACACATACTTTTCGTGTAACATCGAATTCTCCCAATCGAAATGTGGATTTCTTGGGCCGACATTGAAATTGCAACATAAATATATATCTCTTAGATATATATTTATGATATTTGCATACTAAATGAGACTATTTGTCTTATTCCCACAAATATATTCGATGCGTTCCCAACATTTACAAAAAAAAAATAACCAAAGAAATTCAATTTAATTCCATGCATCATTTATAAAAAAAATACATTTATATTATATTATATTATTTCTCAATATTATTTACATAATAAATATGTACTACAAATTATAAATTAATTTGCGATTATAGATGGAAATTATTTTAAAAATAATAAACTTATTGTAGTCAAGGAAATTAAGAATTCAAGGTTCCCGGATTCTCGACAAATATACATTTACTTCTCGTCCGATCCTCGTGTAAAACATATGTATCCTCAAAACATTACCTCCTCTGAATCTGTATCTGTACCTATTAACCTATGGGAAAATTTGTACAACAAACTTTGAACACAATCATAATATTTCTATCTTGAAGATGTCATATTTTTCTATAAGGTTTCCAAAAATTCATCTTATTGGAAATCCACCACCGTCGTCGCAGAAATTTCCATTTACATTCATGCACGTGCACTTTCATTTGTGCAAAATTATATTGTAAGGAACTCCTCTCCCAAAAATCCAATCCCGTACCATTTGGACCAAAACAAACAGTAATCATATTTTAAGCTTCAAACCTGATTTACTTCACCTGCATCATTGTTTCCACGTAAAAATAGAGAGATAGATACTTGTAATTGCACTTACCTTTTGCATGATGAAGTCCGGATTGATTCCCAATTCTGAAACAAATGGAATTTGTAATAGTATCGAGTCTAGACGTTGGATATTTCGACAAAATTCGATCCTCGCCATCAATGGAGTCGATTTATTATTGACGGTTACTGCGCCTTCGTTATTCCAAGGACTAATTACATCCAGCGGTCGCATTAACATTTCAAATGCACATCGATCAGATTTTTCACATCGAATTAATATTTTACCGATGTAATTACGACGGGAAAGTCGTCTTCGGACTGCGATTATAATGTAGAGCAAAGAGAAACAAAAATCGATAGGAAAAATAGGATTTTAGTATCTTATTACCACCCCTAACCTTGAATTGTCATGGAAACGACTTGTTTAATAAACTGTTGAGTGGTGCTCGGGCACAGGGGGGGTTCACGGGATACGGCAAAATTGTAATCTTTTTTTTTTACGATAAATCAGTTGGTATGGGACGTTTACAATGCCTGAGAGAGAAGAAGATTTTTCGTACGAAATCGGTTGTAGTCGGAACCTTCGTAACCATCGTAACCGTTTCAAATGTTTACTTTGCGTTAATAAAACTTTAAAAACTTTTCTATTGTCACATTTCGAGTATTTCTATTTCGCTTTTGTGGAGAACACTAGTAAACACAAGCAAGTAAGTAACATTTCCACAAATATTCTTTATATACGCGTGTGTCTAAGTACAATTCAATTAATGTTAGATTGGAGATCATAGACGAGTAATTGTGAACCATCTACGAGGAGGGAGTACACACGAGCAAATGAGGATAATCTATGCAATGTGCTAAGAGGATAATATTCGCAAATAAAAACATTTTAAATTTAAATTATCTTTTTATATATATATATTATATATATATATGTAGTTATTTTTTGTTTTTGTTTTTAAGGTTGGTATGGAAGGGTTTCGTGTGTAACTTCAACTTGCTCGCTAGGTGCAACTTCAACTTGCACCTAGCGAGCAACTAATTAACCAGCAACTGAAGGTCCCCTGCTCGGGCATGTTGTAAATAACACGTTACAATTATTCAGTGAATCGTACTACGGAAATTTACCCTGACTAAGGGTAATGACTTATCATTATATTTTATATAATAAATATATTATCGAGCCGATCAATTTTCGTATGAATATGTGACACGATTTTGTAATTAATAGAAAATTTACATCAATGATTAATTAATATGACACGTTCAATTAGTAACAATATTAAAAGTAGATATTGTGTAAATTGCATTCCAAAAGCAGATAGATCGTAATGTTTTAAGAACTAAAATGTAAACAATATTATACATTCAGCATTCTGACTATTCCATAGAAAGTCTAATAATTTTGTTTTTACAATAAGATGAATTTTTGGAAACCTTATAGAAAAATGTGACATCCTCAAGATAGAAATATAATGAATGACTACTGAATGTCTTAATGACATAATGAATGTCTACATAGTAACCTTTGACATAGTAAAAAGATAAAAGTCGTGGACTTTATTTGGTCAACGACGGAAGATAAAAATAAAAAAATAGTGTTTTATTTTCTGTATCTCTTCCTGCTGTCATTGAAAGTTTTAATACTTTAATTCAGATTTGGAAGGGAGGCGTATAAATCTGGGTCTGGCGATGGTGATTTCAATTGGAAACTGGGCTCCGAGAGAGAAGAGGGTAGTATTTCGCAGGGCGCGAGGGTTTGGATGTGGGGGTGGTGGGGTGTTTGAATCGTGATAGCACCAACTTCTGCGGAGGGCGGGCTTTAAAGAAGATTAAGGTCAAACGTTAAATGGTTTGTTTTGTTAGTTGTAAATCCGGTCCGGCGAGTGCTGAAAATGGGATAAGAGGCAACAGACCCGAGAGATGTGCATCTGATGGGAACCAGATTTACAGCAGAATTTCACAGACCTTCGAGGAGCGGAGGTTCATCCGCGAACTCGTCGTCTCCTGCGACGAAGCTCTCCTGGTCGTTGGGCGTCATCATGTTTCCTGCATCGTAGTGAGACGTGGGGTTCAGATAGGGATTAGCTCCATAGATGTTGACTCCTTCCGCGGAGAAGGAGGAGGTAGCAGCAGTCGCGGCATTCTCGGCGCCGCCTTCGAACGACTGGAAACTCCTGCAAACGAGAAATAATCCCATACATTACGGCGACTTAATTACTACTATAAAATTAAAAGTTGAGGCGTAATGATAAAACTTTCTTAATATCCAGAACAGCTTGATGGGTTTACCCACCTACATTATTAGCATCACGATTAAACCATCTCTGAATCATCATTATTATTTCCCTGGATTAACTTAAAATATATACTGTTTAATCTCCTAAATTAAAAGTGTTCTCAGATTCAATTTACACACATTTCATTACCACTTATTCATTAGTTCAGATACGAGAAATATCTATATTCCAAATGTAAAATCTGTAAATGCTTTGCTACATTAGTAATATTAACACGATTGGAAAACCTATAAGATTATTAATTTACAAAAAATCAATATCAGGTAAGTAGGCGGTCTACCCAAAACCGAAAAACATGGCAAGGGGTCTACGACACAAAAAAGATTGGGAACCTCTGATATAGATGATAAATATTGAATTGATGTGCAAAATCCATTACAACATCTCATTTTACTTGTAGATTTAGTACTTAATATAAAATAAAACTTTTGTATTATTAGATTTAGCAATCGATCAATCTATACTCTACAAATTTTATTGTGTATCCCCTTGACTTAAGTTCAGTTTGAAATGTTAGTGTACTAGCAATTGCGGAGGGTGGGTTCTGTGTTTGTGCATTTCGTTAATATCGTCGATGCAGGTTCGCTAAGCAGCAGCAATTAGTGTAAGTGGGCACTTACAGTTCCTGGCCGAACTCTTGCTGAACAGGCATTTCGAAGTTGTAACTGCTATCCGCCTGTCCCTGCTGGAATCCCTGATTCGGATTCCAATATTCCTGCTGGCCCTCGTATTGAGACATCTTACAAACTGCAATTAAAGGAAACAAACATGCACTTTGAAACTTTGAGCCGAATTACAACACAATAACAACATTAATTATATACATCTATATAGAAACGTATTAATAATTACTTGAATGTTGAATATATTGGAAATTATGAATAATAATTGTTACCAATTTTAAAATGCAGCTTTCATATAGGCAAATCATTTAACTCCTCTATTTAAAACGATCTTCATATACAAAAATAGTTACTAACAATGAACAGTTTATAACCAATTATTGAAAATTATTCTTTTAATCTTTCTCAAATTATTTTAACAAATATATCTATATTAAAACAAACTTTCCAAATTATTTATAACAATATATTATCCATAATAATAATACTAATTATATTTCTCATTATTATTATAAAAAGTAAATAATATTAAAATCAATTTTCCAAATATTTATTAAACAAATTACTATATAATAATATAGACAACTTAATAAGCAAACATTATTTATACCCTTTATAAATAATAATTAATTGGTCCTTCACATATAAAGATTGTAATTTTACTATATTTAAAGTTATTAAAATAGATTTAAAACAAAATCTACAATAAACTTGAAAATCCTGGAATAGAAAACTTTTTGAGATACAAACGAAAAATCTAATTTTGCAAATAGATTAAATAATAATATATTATAAAATAATCAGAAATTATGTTATTTGTCTCTATATAATTCATAATACCGACATTAAACATTGGAAATGATTAATATAGGCAACTTCATTGCCCATAATATCAAATTATCTGTATTTACAAATCCAAACTAAAGCTATTATCCTTAATATGTAATATGTAATGACTGATGACAAATCCATTCAACCCATTTACAGTACTTTGTATTTATGTTCAATAAACTTAAATTATTTTCTAAGGTAATTTAAACAAAATTAAATTAGTTTGCAAACTAATAATGCTTGATAATTTATTAACAAAAACCTCTTGAATATTATGCTCTCGATATTATTTCTACTATAATTCATATAGATTCAATAATTATTATTTATCAGTTGTAGTTTCTAACTATTTGCCTCTAGATGGAGCAACATACATCGAACCGCGCATTATTGGTAATCTCATTAAAATATTTGTTATTGGTTAAAAAGCGTGCGTATGACGTGTATGATATAACCTAGAATTATAAACAAAACGGAGAGATTTTTCAAACAATTCTAACTGCGATTATGCATTCGCAATTAGTGACAAAATTGTAGGAGAATTGAAGCGTTTTAAACAGGTGCTAATGCAAGTTTCATACCTTCCAAAAGACTCCGGTAATCTTATGTAAACACTGCCACTACACGCGCGCGTTCCCGTTGCAACAGATGGCGTAATTAAGACTAATTGCAGTTGCTTAGAAACCATTAATCAATTATACAAATAAGTTTTGAACCTATCGTGCATAAACAAATGTTCATAATAAGATTTATTTTTATTGTATTATTTATCAAATGTTACATCTGCAACAATTTCGATTCATTTATTTAAATTTAAATTAAATATAATTAATTTTAAAATTTGTGATAATAAAAAAAACAATTTTACGAATTAACCAACTATATTTTTAAATGTAAACGAAAGAATAATTCAAATCTATATATTAGACTGCAAAATGTTTGAATATTTTCTATACTTATTTATTCTTTAACGGTTGGTGAAAGTGTCATTTCCCCCTACTACCAAAGTATACCTATTTGACGTCTGGCTGTCAAAGCGAAAACAAAACATTGCACGGCTGGCACTGGCTTATTGAGCTAGAAGTGTTAGAGGATCCTGTCTCTGATTTAAAAAAGAGGCAGCATGCAGTCTGAACTGAGCAATCCATTTAACTTGACGGAGTGCTGCAGGGCCTGTCTCAGGGCTGAATGCACACTCACGTCAACCTGCCTGCTAGACAATGATACAATCAAGCTCTGCGATAAACTAACCACTTGTGTTGCTGAAGTTGTAAGTTGTTTGCGGGTGCTATAAGTCAACCTAAATCTTTACTATTTATGATGTGTTATTTTTAGGCATGGATCAAGGAAGGCTTCTCCAGCTTGATATGTGATTATTGCTTGGAGAAGCTGAGGATTGCCTACAATTTTAAGATTCAGTGTTTGGAATCTGAAAGCACTCTGCAGCAATGTCTGATGGCTGACAATAAAATTTCTGAAATTAGTATGCAATCATACATACCGGTTTGTAGATTATTATATTAATTATTCAAATTCAGCAGATCAATTCAAATTTGAATAATTTACAAAATAGCATGAAATTAGATACAATTTTCAATATTTGTTATTAGAATAGTTAAATGTATTGAATTCCTTGCTTGCTTCTCAGGTGCAAATTTTAACTGAAGTACATTTAAACATTTTTTTGATTGAAAAATAAAATTGTTGAAAATTTCTCAATAATATCATAATAAAATAAAACAATTTTAAATAAACAATCTATAAGTAGTTTAGTGCAGAAATGAATTATGCTATTTAAATCGTATATATTTAATTAATAAATATAAAAAAAATATAATTAATTTTTGTTAAAAATATTTGAATATTTTGAAATTTTCATTAGGATTTGTTGATATTGGTATGTTTATTCTTATAAAATGTAGATTAAAATCCACTTGGATTTTCCAACTAATTTGCTTTCTATAAAAAAATATTTCTAACAGATGCTTGTGTCTTTAGGTTTCTGAAATAACTCCGACTATACAATATGCTGAAGTGGATCCCCAATTGGATACTGATAAGCTCGAAACATCTAGTCAAGACTTCCTGACCAATTATTTGGACGATTCATTACCAATGGACAATGAGATGGTACCGTCTCCAGTTTCGAGTCTCTCTAGTTTCATGAAGTTCAACACCGTTCCGAGAGCGGTGATTGCTTGTAGAACGGTGAAGACGCAGACGTACCCTTTACCACAGTATCCACCACTAACACCGGCTGCCGCTAAGTTGGATGCGCAGCAGACCAAGACGGAGATCGTCGTGGAGGAATCCTACAAGCATATGTGCGAACTTTGTGGGAAAAAGTACGCAAAGACGGCTAATCTAAAGATCCACATGCGGACGCATACCGGAGAGAAACCATTCGAGTGCAAGTACTGCGAGAAGAAGTTCTACCACACGTCGCATTTGAGGGAGCACATCAGAAGGCACACCGGTGAAAAACCCTTCCAGTGTTCGGTGTGTCAGAAAAGATTCACGATAACTGCAGAGCTGACTGTTCATATGAGAATTCATACTGGAGAGAAACCGTACGCCTGTACGTACTGCGACAAGAAGTACATCAAGGCTTCGGATTTGCAGGTGCACATGCGGTCTCACACCGGAGAGAAACCGTTCCCTTGTTCATACTGCGAAAAGAAGTTCACTAGCGGATACATCCTCAACTCACACATGAAGGTGCACACAGGTGATCGGCCTTGGGCGTGCAACATGTGCGATAAATCCTTTACGCAATCCTCGCATCTCACCGTGCACATGAAGAAGCACACTGGGGAGAAGTTTTCCTGTAAGCAGTGCGGGCAGGAATTCTCGCATTCCTCGCAGCTCACAGTTCACACGAGGGAGCATACTGGGAAACAGCCGTACAAGTGCGAATACTGCGAGAAGGTGTACAACTACGCTTCGGAGTTACAGATACACATGGTGAAGCACACGGGGGAGAGGTTTGCATGTCCCACCTGCAACAAAAAGTTCTCCACTGCAGGATATCTCCAGGAGCACATTCGTATGCATACAGGGGAAAATCTTTTATCCTGCAACATGTGCGATCGTACCTTCACGCGCGCCACCTACCTAGAAAAGCACATACGAACTCACACCGGTGAGAAACCCTTCACCTGCAATGTTTGCAACAAGAACTTTACGCAGACTTCATCGCTCAACGTGCACATGAGAAAGCATACCGGAGAGAAACCGTTTGTTTGCGCTGTCTGCGACAAAGCATTCGCAACGAATTCCTATCTCACCACCCACCTGAGAAAACATAAACAGAAATTCGCAATTTTATAGGAGTACCTGATAGCCGACGACAACTCGGCTATCAGTAATGACCTCGACTTCGATATTCAACCACTCTGAACAACCAAATTGCCATATACTAATATATAACAAGGAAATCTTCAGCAAACATCCCTGAGAAATACATACAAAGAAAACTTCCTATATATACATACATTTATATACTATTAAGGTTATTGTTACTAAGAGCTTTTATTACTATTATTATTAAAACACTATTTTTTTATTGACTGAAAATTTTTCCGAACGCGGAAAAAGAATCCAAAATAGGAATTTTTTCATTTGTGCGTCATCTTTCACTTTTTTCTCGCACACTGCCTTCTCCTACCGTTTCAGCTTTTGCGGCATAGAAATAAGTTTTTGCAAACTTTTACGTGTGTATATAGATCGATGTTTAATGTTAATGGAAACTTATATTATCACGAGGTTGTGAATGTCATTATTTAATCATTAATTATCAATCGCGAATTGATATATTGATTGTTCGAATCAAATACATAAAAAAATATTTATTGACCTAATTCTAAAACTGTTTAGTTAATAATATAGTTTATAATGGAATTATGAATTAGTTAAGAAATATATTTTTTTTTCTAATAAATAGTTTCAATTAGGTGTAAAGAGTTTGGTTGAAAGGATTAAAATTAAAATTATTTCATCTAATTAAAAATTTTGGAATTAGAAATTAAATTTGAATCACGTAAATATAACCGAGATACTCAGAGTGGACTGAGGAGTTTCTGTGCAACCTGGCTCCAGATTATGTTCAATCGCTTCAGAGCGTGACCCCCTCAGAGGGTATTGTTTCATATTACCATCTGGTGGACAACATATCACTTGCAGAATTGGAGGCAGTGCTTATGAAAGCTAGAGACACGGCGGTGGGTGCGGATTACATTTCGTACCCAATGATCAGGGCGCTCCCACTAAGTTATAAGAAAATTTTAATAATTTATTACAACTAATTTTTAAATGGTGTTGCCATCCCAAGTGTTTGGAAGGAAATTACGATTCGTCCTATTTTAAAGCCAGGAGCACCAAGCTCCCTATCGGCCAGTTACCGACCGATTGCTCTATCCTCATGCTTGAAAAAAACATTTGAGTCGATAATAAAAAAACCAGGCTTTCGAAGAGGTCGTAGGGCTCAGGATAATATAGCAACGATACTAGCGGATATTTATAGTGCTTTTGCACAGTCACCATATGGTGGCTTGTTTTATAGATATTAAGTCAGCATATGACAATGTATCAATGGATATTTTAAAAAATGTTTTAATTTGTAAAAGTCTTCCATCACCTCATAAATTGTCTGATGTCCCTTTGTAGAGAAAGGTCAATATCGGTGGCAGGCCCTAACCGAATCACTAGAAAATATTTTATTGGACTTCCACAGGGAAGCCCCCTGAGTCCGTTGCTCTTTAACTTATTTATTAGTGATATTGATGTTACGTTGGTGGACGGCGTAGACATGTTGGTCTACGCAGATGACATTGTTATCTACGGGAGCGGAGCTAACATATATAATCTGGTTACTAAGGTGGAAAGATGCCTAAAGAATCTACTCAGTTTCCTGAAAAATAAAAACTTATCTTTGACAATGGAAAAAACAAGGTGCGTTCTTTTTTCACGAAGTTCTCCAGTCTACGTCCCAATCATACTGGAGGGACGAGAGTTGGAATGGGTTGGAGAAA